GAAGGAGGAATCCCCCGTTTGACTTTTATTTCCTGATGACTTTTATTTATTTAGTTATTTGTGACAACCTACGGTTAGTTTGTGTTATTTAGGAGTATTTTTTTTTTAAAAAAAAAAAATGTTCTACTGGAAAATCAAATACTCCCTCCATTCCAAAATATATGTCGTTGGAGGAAAATCAATTTTTTTCAAAATAGATGTCGTTTTAGCAAATCTAGGCATATTTAGTTAACTTCTTCTAATATTACCTCTACATGGGAAATTGTAATTGTATATTTAAAGTAGAAGTGTATTAGAATTAAATTATATAGGGAATAAAATTGTATTGAGAATAAATGAAAGTAATTTAGTATTTTAACTTAATATTTATTATTTCTTTAAACTTTGTGAAACTCCTCCACGACATATATTTTGGAATGGAGGGAGTATAAACTAATAGATCAATAATATTTTGATTTCTCCTGATATCGAAACTTTCCACACCATGTTAGAATCTTTACACAACTATTAAGAGCAATAACTGCAGAGTAACGTATTTACATATAATTACTGATTACATATAAATATCTTGTAAAGTATATTATGAGAAACTTAATTCGTAAGAATATTGGTAATTCACTTAAGCATTATTGATCTATTTGAATGAACACAACCAGAAACTAAAATTTAAGCCTCTTATATGTATCCTCGCTGAGACATATACCTCCAAAAAACTAGACTACTTTTGCCTTTAGTTTTAAGCATCAAACTTTAAATATACAAATGTATTTCATAGGAGAAAAAAAAAAGCCGAGCAACAACATTTCAAAAATAAAACGCATCACTAATACTCTTCGAGAAGAAAGTCGTATGAATAAGAAATAAATATCTCTGTTGTCATGCGTCATTCTACATGATTAATACAATATAATTAAATAAGTTTAGTGTTTTTTTAATTGCTGAAAAAGTTTAAGAACAAAATTGGTGAATTATTTTGCGTATTAATGTGTTTTGTCCACGTATCACCCTAACAAACAACACTTTATCATATCAAATCACACATTAATAAATCCAAAAAAAGAAGAGAAAATTGAACAAAAGCATTACATAAATTTGACAATTAGAAGCCAAAAAGTTAGATTATTGTCCGCCAACATGTCCCATAAATCCAAAACCTTTCATCCCACTAATTTTTCTTCACCGATTTCTTAAAGCAAAATGCCGCCTTAAAAGATGGCCATTTCTCTCTAATTTGTTGAAAAAGTAAGACAGAAAATTTGACCAACATTTCCAATTGAATCATAATCCCTTTCTCGTTATTTCTTTTAGGTGTGGTTATGATGTATGGGGCTAGAAAATGTATATGGAGCAAACATTATCATTTGGCAATAACATTACTTGTCGCAATTGTATTCTTGCATCCTAATAATAAAGTTTTTTTTTGCGATAATATCTCAAATGAATTTTTAATTTTAGGACAAAAGAGTTTATACTATACTATAATTTTATCATTACTAAGATTTATTATAGTTTCATGAGTGGACCCTCAGTTATTGTGTGTTGAGAGTTATGTGGCAAGGATTATGAATCTCACATCGGAGGCATGAGGACATGTGAATCAATTAATAAATAAGGTGGTCTAAGAACCCATTAGCTTGAGCTTTTGAGTTCAGATAGGTTTTATCTTACTTATTGGGCTCCATGTCGGGTTTTCTCCTCCAGATAAATCTCCAACAGTGGTATCAGAGCCCAGGTTGGGCCAGTTGGGTGGGTAATTTAGCCCAAATTATCTCGGTTGATCTGATTAACCCAAGCAGTCAAAGGCCCACTACGAGCGGAAACGTAGGAATGGGCGGCCCAGTTACTCAGGTGGAGTACAAATTTGGGTTTGTCAAGATAATTTGGAAGTCCGATGTGGAAATTACCCATGACGGGAGAGAATGTTGAGAGTCATGTGACAAAGATTATGAATCCCACATCGGAGGCATGAGAAGATAAAGTAGTCTCAGAACCCATTAACTTGAGCTTTTGAGTTCAGATGGATTTTATCTTACTTATTGGGCTCCATGTCGGTTTTCTCCTCCAGATAAATCCCCAACATTGTGTTTCATCACAAGCAATCATCTAATTGATTGTGTCTGATTTTGATGATTAATTTCATTTGCCAAAGGCCCCTAGCCGTCATTTATGGAGCTGAACTTGTTTGCAACGAACGTCATCCGACACTTCAAGAAGCCTTTACATTAATTTCATTTTGATAATCATTTCAAATGTATTCTTTTATGTACATATGTTACATCGTTACTAACTAGATCATCTCAAAATGATTGTACAAGTTATGGTGATTCATTGTTCATTAGCCTTAAAATTAACTTGTAATGTGATTAGCAATCTGTATATCGCAAACAAAAACATAAATAAATGAAAAAGTTTGTTATGCGATTAAGCTTCAGTTGGGACATGGGCTTAATGAAACCACGAATTTGTGATTATGATTTTTCGCTCATATCATACCACCGAAAACTGCCATTTTCGAATATATTTTTTTTTTAAAAAAAGAAGAATATCTATGATGAAGTAAAAAAAATCTAGTGTAACCCTTACAACATTGTTAGTTATTCGTTTCCATAATAACAACACTAAATTGCAAATTACATTGTCGATGTTTTGTCAACCGACTAAAGGTAAAATATTGTCAACCGACTAACTTAGTTTGAAATAGCAATCCCTTTTACTAAGGATATTAACATTCCTTCATAAATGTTTCATCCGTTTTGAAATGATTGTCTACTCTAAATAAGACAATAATTTTGGGACAAAAAGAGTAACAATTTTTATTAGACTTATAGAGATTATACCAACTATAATTAATCCTATTGTTAATGTGTCAATTTATATTTTTCACCGTCACTATGTGATTGTGTCCCCAAGTTTAATTGTTCTTAAGCTTAATTTAAAGAATCACCAACTTAGTTTGAACTACTACAAAAAAAAACAAAAAAAAAATAAAAAAAATCACCAAAGGGCATCAACAGTCGTTAGGGGGGCTCGTGAGTTGATGGCCCGAGAGCGGGAAGTTCGACTTCAGCATATGAGTTTCAGGAAACCAACTTTGTAGCAGATTATTGACAACTTTAGCAGCACAAGATTTAGGCGGTCTATATTAGCTTAATTTTTACCAATGGAAGTCAAACTGTAGTTAGAACATGATATTGTTGGAGTATCATACCCTAAAGTTATAACGATTTAATTATCTTCAGGCTTTAGTCTCCTTTTCTATAAAAAAAAAAAGAAGAAACTTCCAGACCAATAGAGATTATTGTCAAAAATAATAATTAATCTTACTGTTAGTGTGTCAATTTATATTTTTACGTCACTATGTGATTATGTCATCATGCTCTCATAATAATATATAACCATTGCACATAATACTAATATTATAAATTACATCAGCAAAAAGTCAAATATATATCAATACATTTATTTCCACCGTTCGTAGTCGATTATTTAATCGCACATATTTCATCATCCTATAAAACAGTTTTTAACTGGCTACTTGAAGAACTCTTTCATCCCAACAAAAGATATACATCAATTTATTTTTCCAATTTCCCAACCCAAAAAAAAAAAAATCATAATAAATTCTCAAAAAGCGGTGAGCTGAAATCCAATGAATTTATTTCTGGCTTTGTAAAATATGAAATCAGATTACACATAATTTTTCCCAATTTAATTTACCAACAACAGCAATCCCTGGCCCCACCAGGGTCTTCATCTGGTTAACAAGTGTGAAGTGTGAACCGTAGCCTCTAGTAGAAATCAACAAAATCAAATGCCGGCCCTCGTGCTTAAGGCATCTAAAACAACTTCTTTCTACTTCCTCCTTTGCCCTCAGCCCCTCACATGAATCTTGACCAATTTTTTTTCTTTTTTTTGGGGGGCACTTTTCTTTGGTTATACGTAAACTTTTTAGCTTATAGAATATCTTCCCCTATGGGATTTATTTACCTACTAGTAAATCTTACTATAAACGACTTTAGCTTTTTTTATAGCTGTTAGTGTTTTTTTTTTAGGTTTATAGCCTTCTTGTTAGAGGGTCATTTTTGTATATTTGGAAATGAAATATACCGATCATATCGATCATAATAACATCTCCGATAATAAATAAGATAGTGAAAATGATAAAAAGTACTACAAATCCAAAATTGAAAGTCGAGATGTTAAACGCAATAAAGAATTACTTTTTCTTTCTATATCTGTCACACAAATCAATATTTTATTTTATTTTATTTTTTCTTTAGCTTGCTCTGTTATGTTTTAAATGATCATCGATTTAGTTTTTAAACTTACAATTGTACCCGCTTGACATTTAAAAAGTTGTAACATCTTATGCAATACAAGTAACAACAATATAACATCTCACCAGTCAATACATTATAAATGTAACTAAATTGCTATAAAAAATCTACCCAAATTAGGAAAGAAGATAACAAAATTTTAATCGGGAAAGCAACCAAATCAAAATTTGCTAAATCAGACCAAAACAGTTATTGATTTCCATTTCAATTTGATTAAAAGTTCTCTCTCGTTCTTTCTCATTTTTGGTTCTGTATTAATAAAGCATCAAAATTTTTCTCTCTTTCTTACTTTATAAATATACCATATTTGGATCACCATATCTTAATTCCATAATGTCCATTAACTTATTTCCCCAAATGGTATTGAAAATCCATAAGTTCAATTTGTCCATCTGAACCTTGTTTTATACCAAATAATTTTTCCTTTAAATTGCCAAATTCCTTTTTTCTCCCTAAAAGAACAAACCTCAACCATGGTTAAAAAAAAAAAAAAAACAATCAACCACTCTACCACCCCAAATGTGATGGGCATCTAATCTACCATTTATTTTTTGTCGGTGACCGGACACAAAACGTTATCCACCGGAACAAGGACTAAAATGCAAAAGAAAAAACATGGAACAATTTTGTTTTGTTTTTTATTTTACTGATTCTGCAGAAAAGTGCAATCTGTACCAGTAGTTGGAACAGTTAAAATCTTTCTTCTTTTCTTTACAATTATTAAAAACTTTAAAAAATATTGCAAATTTTAAAGAAGTAAAATGGACTGAACACCCACCATTGTAATGGTTTAGAAAAAAAAATAAAAAAATCAGCATAATTAGTGAAGGAAAAAAAGAAACAAAAAATTTGTCCAAATTAGACCAAAATTGACTATAAAACAACCTCTTCTCTCTCTGCTTTACATGCTCCTCAACTCCAACTCCACCCACACTCTCCCATCAGTACTCTGTTTCTTCTCTTCCTTTTTTTTTTCTCTTCAGAATGCCGCAGCACTGCTCTGTTCCTCTTCTATTTTGAGGTGGTAGAAAGAAACAGAAGAGGGATTTCTGAAAAGGAAACCGCATTGCTTTGTTTTAGCCCAGTTCAATTCAGAGCAGTGAGTGTGTGACTCTGTGTTTTTTGGTATGCCAAAAACAGAGGCGGCAGATCTGTTGAGTTAAAACAAGTCATCCCTTAATCCCTTTCCCCTGTTTTTTTTCCCCTTTTTGTTCATTTTACTCTGTTTTTCAATTGTTAACAAAAAATGGCTGCGATTTCTGGGGAAAATCTGATTCCGGAGTCGTTTAACGTGAGGGGACCGGCGGGTGACATTGCGGCGCAAATTGGGTTGATATGGGAATTGGTCAGGACGCCATTGATTGTTCCCCTGTTGCGGGTGGCCGTCTATCTGTGTTTGGCAATGTCCCTGATGCTGTTCTTCGAGAGGCTGTACATGGGAATCGTCATCGTTCTGGTGAAGCTTTTCTGGAAGAAGCCTGATAAGAGATACAAATGGGAGCCAATGAGGGATGATTTGGAGATTGGGAATGCAGCTTTTCCCATGGTTCTTATCCAAATCCCTATGTTCAATGAAAGAGAGGTTCGTCTTGTTCTGTTCTGTTCTGTTTTATTTCACTGTGTGTGTGTGTGTTTATTTTTTATTTTTTGTTTTTTTCCCAATCCTTTTTCTGGGTAACTGAGACAAAGAGAGATTTTGGTTTGCTTTTAATGGGCAGGTGTATAAGATCTCCATTGGAGCTGCATGTAACCTTTCCTGGCCTGCAGATCGTATCGTGATTCAAGTTCTTGATGATTCCACCGACCCTGTAATCAAGGTAATTATTATTCATCATCCATCATTATTTATTACTCCATTGGTTTCTTTTCTCTTCTGGAAACCAGAGAAATTCCCTCCCACTTACATACATCCTTTTCTTTAACTGAAATACGTGCCTAATTTACTCGATTTCCCAAACATTTACTGCCTTCAATAATTGACCATTTTTCACTAGTTTTTTTTTTGGTAAATAAATTGTTAAAGTTTAATTGGGTTTTTTCTTTTTGGTTCCTTAGATCCGGGCTAGTTTTCTGTTATGATGACGGTGCTATAATTCCACGAGCTGCACTTTTTTTTTTTTTAATCCTTTCTGTCAATCACTTTTCTGCAAAACTAATTGCCTGAAGCAAACAATACCTTTTTGACATTTTGTCTAATTTGTCTCTATTTTTTTATTTGTTTTTTTATGCCGTTTGATTTTGTTTGGAGTATGAATTGCCGTAATCTGGATTTTTTTGTTATTGGAACCGTTACACTGAAAAAAATTTAATGCTGATATTTAATTTCAGGAAATGGTTGAGAAAGAATGCCATAGGTGGGCAAGCAAAGGCATTAATTGCAGGTACCAAATTAGAGAGACTCGGGGAGGGTACAAGGCCGGTGCACTAAAAGAAGGATTGAAGCATGATTACGTTAAGGATTGTGAGTACGTGGCGATTTTCGACGCCGATTTCCGGCCGGAACCCGACTTTCTCCGGCGAGCTATCCCTTTCTTGATGCACAATTCCGATATCGCACTTGTCCAAGCTCGTTGGAGGTTTGGTAAGCTTCAATTTTTTTTTTCTTTTGCACCTCCTTTTTTGGCCATTTTTATGGTCCATGCTTTTTAAATGCTCTTAGTACAATCAGCTAGTTCCAATCCAAATAATTTTTTGGTCCCCATAAAATTTAAAAAAGAATGGCAATTGTCGCATGCCCCAACCATATACAAATGCTAATTATATGTCCCAACCATCAAAAGAATTACTCACATACTATTCAATAACATTTTTGGACGGACGAAATATATGATTTCGTTTGTTACTTAGCCCCCATAAATCATCGCATTATTCCAAAATTGAAAGCATTTTTAACTCCACAAAACATATAAAAAAATATGCAAATTGAGTTGAAAAATTGTCTTTCTTATTAACTTTTGAATTAATTGGGATTTTTATATTTTGATGACCAATGAGTTATAATTTGGGAAAGTGTCGGTGATCTTGTTACTCCACTACTCTTTTAAGCCTTTTGCATTCTGCTGAAACTATTCATCAGCATTTATTTAGTACTCTGCCAAGTCTACTATGGAAAATTCTTTTTTATTATTATTAAAAAAAATTGTTTGATTTTTATTTCCAAAAAGAAATTTGATAATAAAATTTTTTGATAGATTTGGTGTGGACGAGGGTCCATGGGCAGTTCAATCAGTTAATTGAGTGGGTGTAGGGACCACCTTCAATGTACATTTGTTTTTTTGATTGATAAAATTGGGACCGTAGATCACGGGGTTCAGTGATGACCTCAACGAATCCAAAACTCCAAACCCAAATCCATGATATTTGATACCCATTCCCCCCGGACCATTGTCTCCTTTTTCTGAATTATTTCTTCAATTTCAACAACCACTATTTTATAAACTCTTCTTCTATTAATGGAAATAAATTAGTTCGGAAATGACGTTTTAGCTCGAGTCAATGCTTACTAAATCCACGCTTTTAAAACCTACCTCACTAATAAGAGAATTTGTTCTAATTCTAATCGAGTTCGAGTCGTTACGTTTTTTACCGTATGGTTTTCATCTTCAATAAGCAAAAGAACCTAAAATGGACGTTATAATTTTATTTTTTTGGGTGACATTTGCAAACCTTTACGGTGAAAGTGAGGTTTGTCGCATTTGTTCTCATGTATTGTTGTCAGTAGCATCATAATTCATAAATCTCAACTGGGTCTTCTTAATTGACGTAATTATAAAAATACCATTTTCTTCTCCGTATTCGTCGGCGTGGAAGTGCTGAAATTGTTTCTCAGACCAAAGGTTTGTCAATTAGATTTGGTCATTCCTGATTGGTGACGCAAAGAATATAATACTAAAAAAAGGAGCGAACAAATAAAAAAAAATCACATTATAAAAGCCCGCCAAAAAAGGGTTAGAAACGTCATTCAACTCCATCTGACGTGTACTAATTATTCCTTCTGGTAAAAGAAAGTTGTACTCTGTGCACCGACACTTACTCCTTGGTAAAACTAAATTTGAGGGGGTAAAAGTTACAGCAGTAACAAACTATTGGCTTCTTTTTGGAGGGTCAGTACAGTACCGTAAGTAGGAGTGAAATTTTGTTTCATACTGCATGGAATCGCATGATTGATTTGGTGACTTTAGTATATATATACTTTGTGATTTATCATAGTCCCAGTCACGTGATGTCAGAAAAATTTTTAACTGTTTTTTTCTCGCTCATAATTGGACGATGGGGACAAATAACTGGACCTCTTCTGTACCATGTTCAACTACTGCCCATATTACATCTGTCTCTGAACTTGTCTTCTATAATCTGTGCCCTTTCTAATATAAAATTTTTCCTTAAAAAAAAATAAAGATGATTCTTATTTGGGGACAAACAATATATAGCATATACAACCAAGAAGCTAAAGTTTAATTGCGATTTGTGAATACAATTATTAGTGTTATAATTGCTTAATTGAGTCTTTTTTTTTTCTTTTTTGGTTTTGAAATTGCAGTGAATGCTGATGAATGCTTGTTGACAAGGATGCAAGAAATGTCATTGGATTACCATTTCACCGTTGAGCAAGAAGTGGGATCATCCACTCATGCATTTTTTGGCTTCAATGGTATGTGGATTTTTTTATTTTCTTTTTCAGTCTTTATAGTAGATGGTCAAATGGGAATAATTTACTGAAGAACAAGGCTTGGTTGCTAGAATCTAGCTGATTCGCACATGCTCTATCAAATCATAAGTAGAGTTGTCTTTCTTTTGTTTTTTACTTCACGCTTCATGAGCTGTTAAAAAAAACTTGTACACGTTTGTCGATATGCCTTGATCTGATCCCCCCTCATTGCATTGTTATTAGAAAGAATTGTTGACTAAGCAAATTTCTTCTTTTAGTAAAACGACAAGAGCTTTTCACTTGTAGGCCAAGATTAGATCTTCTCATTTCACTTCTTGAGTATCAATCGTTTTCAATTAAATAATGTCTTTGAATAAAAAACGATTTCATTTCATTAGTAAGACACATGTAGCACTTGGTATACAATAGCTAGACATAATGTCATTTGCTTTTGGTCACAAATCTTCATTAGGAGTTGGTGATAGAAAAATTGGTAACAATGCAGTAACAATTAAAACAAGTATGATCAATGTGGCAATGATGACTTGTTTCAGGCACCGGTGGGATATGGAGAATCGCGGCTATCAATGATGCCGGTGGCTGGAAAGACAGGACAACAGTGGAGGATATGGATCTTGCTGTAAGAGCTGGTCTTAAAGGCTGGAAATTTGTGTATCTTGGGGACCTTCAGGTACTTAATCAGATTAGCAAGCAGAGTTCACAAACCTAATAATAATTCACATTCTTTTAAACCATCTCTTAATTGTGTCATGATTTTGATTGCTAACAGGTGAAAAGTGAGCTTCCAAGTACATTCAAAGCCTTCCGTTTTCAGCAGCATCGCTGGTCGTGTGGCCCTGCTAATTTGTTTAGGAAGATGTTCATGGAAATTGTAATGAACAAGGTAAGCTACATTTAGCCTTTCTGAATGATGCAAGAATTATGCATTGATTGATTCCCTCAAGAAGCAGCAAATATTGATGAAGTTGGTCTTTTAAAATTTATGCAGAAACTTGCAATCTGGAAGAAGATATATGTGATCTACAGCTTCTTCTTTGTTCGAAAAGTGATTGCTCACATGGTCACCTTTTTCTTCTACTGTGTTGTTCTTCCCCTGACTATTTTGGTCCCTGAAGTTGATGTTCCAGTGTGGGGCGCCATTTACATACCCTGTGTCATTACCACCTTGAACTCAGTTGGAACCCCAAGGTATATTCAGTTCCAAACTTCTTACAACTGTACATAACTAGTTATCGAAACAGGACTATGATTATTGGATGAAGTTTTCCAATTTCAAATGGCTGATTGATCATCATCATCATCATTATTCAGGTCAATTCATCTGTTGTTCTACTGGATTTTGTTCGAGAATGTGATGTCGCTGCACCGAACAAAGGCTACATTCATCGGTTTGTTGGAGGCCAAAAGAGCTAACGAATGGGTTGTCACTGAAAAGCTCGGAGATACCCTGAAAAACAAATCAAAAGAGAAAGGAAAACCAAAGAAGATAGGATTCAAGATTGGAGACAGGTAAACTTACATTTCTTTTTATCATCATCATTTCATCACCCCCTTTAGCTATTTCATGATCAGAGGTAATTTCTGACTTATACTGATATTGCAGAATTCATCTACTGGAGTTGGGATTCGCGGTATTCCTTTTCTTCTGCGGATGCTATGATTATCTATATGGACACAAGTTCTACTTCGTTTACATTTTCCTTCAAGTGATAACCTTCACTATAGCTGGATTCGGGTACATTGGTACAATAGTGCCATCTTAGTGGCAAAGAGGAGTAATCAAGATTTACAAGCAAGCAAACATATGTCAACAGCAGAAGGAGGAATCTCTCTTACAATTGCATTCTTTTCTGGTCTACACAAACAAAGTGTGCATACAAACAAAAAGCCCCCTTCTTCATTCAAGGTTTTGAGTTAAACCCAAAAGGCCAAAAACTCAAAATCTCCATTTGCATTTTTTAGGAAGGAATCCCCCAAGAGATATTGTCAGAAATTATAAGCAGTTCTATATAGTTCAGGATTGAGAGGAATAGTTGAAGGTCAGCCAGAAACCTCAGATATAGATTAGATAAACAGATAAATTAATGTTTGTTTTACTATAAGTAATTGTAATTGCGTGACAGTTGTGCTTAAAACATCTTCAAACCATTTGGCTTTCCAGCTTTTTTTCAGCTTGATAGAGAATGATAAATCTGAGGGCTACAGCCAACAGGATGAATATGTATGTATTCAAAGTTTTGTTTACCTTTTCCCCTCGTCTTAATCCAACATAGCATGGCAGAGCAATAGTTCAATGTATAAATGAAGAATTTTCAAATTAGTCATAATTGTATCCGATTTTTTGTTATCTTCTTTTTAGGTAACAAGTAGAAGGCCTTGCCTGTGAACTAAATTACTATTTTTACAGAGGCAGAGGTAAACTATCCAATTATACAATGCTGAAAATATTGTTTCTTCCCATATCAAAGGTAACGCTAGGCGATAAACACCCGTGAGACTATGAGATGTGACGTTGCTAAGTTGGCTGCCGCAAAATTTTTGTCATTAATTTTTTTTTTTTTCCTTTTAGACTTTTAGACATGGTAATTATACACATGAAGTGTGAAACTTAAGAATGATGATGGTTCAATGTCTCTTTCAGAGGAAATTCGATTAGTCTTTTATACTCCCTCTGTCCTATAATTATTGTCCAATTTGATATTTCACTTTTAGTACAATTTAAACTAGAAATAAAAATCCAAATTGGACAATAATTATGGGACGGAGGAAGTATCTTTCATTGCACACGAGTGAATTCAATCGATCCTTTGCTTGGAAGAGAACTTAAAGGTATCAATCAAGTTGATTCTTTCTCTGTTTTGTTCTGTGTGTTTTGTAGCGAAATTTTGTTTTCTCAACCAAATACTAATGTCTTCTTCCAAATTTTCATATTCATTTGGAACTTGGGAAAAAAAAAAAAAATCCCCAAAAAGTGAATTAATTACAGTAATTAACCGTGGAGACTCCAAAAATATCCCAAGAAAAATTTCTCCAAATATAATTATAGGAACATGAAACTTTAACAGTTCCTCGTCATTGTCAAAATCTTGTCCTGAGATCTATATGGATTGCGACTTGAACAATAATTTGCAACTTATTACACACTTCACCAGAACCACAAATTATGCCAACACCTTGTCACAATATGTTTTCAGTGATTGTGAGTTTCATGTCGGGAGAACACTTCTTCTTGATTTGCTGATTAAAGTCCCAACAACGGATTATAGGGGAATTAGCCCATTCCTTACTGTATATACGATGATAACATGCTCTATCATACTTATAAATCACAATCAGTGATAAAAATCTTTTTCTCTTGACTGATAATTACTCCCTCCGTCTCATAATTATTGTCCAGTTTGAGTTTTCATTTTTAGTTCAAATTGTACTGAAAGTAAAATTTCAAACTGGACAATAATTTTGGGACGTAAGGAGTATCTGTCATTAATTACAAAATTTACTCTAACAATGTATGAAATGAAAATTTTCTAGAGGGTAACTTATTTCTGTTTCCAAATTACCCAAGCAATGAAAGGACGAACACACGACTAATAACCGCATCATATGTAGTGTTTGAGACTTTCTTCAAAAGTCACTGTCAGAACCTAACACTAATCAATCACGGAGTATTTAGTTTCATTAATTAACGATAGCAAACAAAATAATGCATGTGTCCGACAGAAACTTTATTTGTGGGTCTTAAAATTCTTAATCAAAAATATATTGCAAGATTTACACCCCACATTTTGTCATTTTTTAGGGTACATATTTTCCATTGTTTTGTGTCGGTGATCCAAATTAATCAACACCCGTGTCTTATTATTATGAACGAAAGCAAATACGTCGGGGGAAAAACAAAGTATAGAGGCACTCATGTAAGTTTTCAGTGATGTTCTAAATATATTTCGTCCCTTCCTGAAAATGAAAAAGAAGAGGTTATTGAAGATCATTGCAGGATTATTAAGAAAATTATTCTATGCTCATTGCAGGATTAGGACAAGCATACATCATCCATCATATATATGCCAACAAAGGAAAAAGTTACGATTATTAAAATTTTAGGAATTCATTAGGGTTTATAATATATTATTAAGCCAGTCGTGATCAAAACTATTTAACAAAAGATTTTGTGAAAGTTCATATTAGCCCAAATCAAGGATGGCAAATCTTTTGTTTTTTTCCCTAAAAAAAAAGGAAAAAGTTATGAGTATCCGAAAATCTAGTCAAAGCATATTAACTTTAAAATCGTGTTCTTATAACACTAAAGAAGATAGTAAACACCATTATACTAACTTTAATTTGGGAAAATATCACGCCATGTATCCTAAAAATAGGAGAACTCCACATTATGTATTCTAACAATTAGTATTCCCAAATCAGGTCTCTTATGCTTAAATTTGTTATTTTAAGTACTTTTCATTTTTCAAGGGCAAAATCAAAAATTAAATAATTTTATCCGAATTTGCTATTTTTATGTCCCTTGGAAAAGTGCAAATTGCACCTTAACTTTTTATGTATTATATTTATTCATTTTGGTTCACGTTCAAGGGAAAAATGAGCTATTTTCTCCTTATTATATGTTGTATTAATATTTTAGGAGTATGAAAACAAAAATCTAAAAAAAAAAAAATTATGTATTACCAAAAATGTATAAATATGTCAAAAACTTAAACCAAAAAAGTGGAAAACTAAGAAAAATTATTTTCTAAAATAATTAAGTAAAATCATCAAATAAAAATATAATACAACTTATAATAAAGATAAAATATGGACATAAAAAAATAAAAAACTAGAAGCCCTGGGAAATTTTTGACAAAAATCAAGGTGTAATTTGCTAAAATTTGATCTCGTGAAATTTTTAAAAATTAATAAAATTTGGGAAAAGAACAAAAACCCCTCGATTTATGTCCCAAAGATTAATACCACCCCGGCGTTTTCTATAAGGACAATTGCCCCCCTTGACCGCTAGTCAGCTGCATAATTGACCCCCCTGACAACCAAAATGACAAAAATACCCTTCTTGTCTAGAAATATTCACCAATTTTTGTGAATTTTTTTAAAATAAAATTAATTTTAGTAAAAAATTAATTTTTTTAGGATTGAATTGTGTTTTCAGAAAAGGATATAATTTGTCCCAAAAAATAGCATAATTTCAACATTATTCATATTTTGAATTAGTCCATTGTTGTTAAAATTAATGTAGAATATGGTTGAAAGTCTATCATTTTTAAAAAAGAAATTCAACCGTAGATAAATTGATATTTACTCAAATTATTATTATTTTTTTAAAAAAGAGTAGTTTTTTTTTTAAAGAAAAATTGGTAAATGTCTTATCCTTAAATAAATCTTTTGACAATTTGTTAAACAAAATAGGTTTTTAAAAAAGGTAGAATTATTCCACAAAAATTTGATTTTTAGGTGAAAAGGGTATTTTGGTCATTAATTATATATTTTTTTGCCATTATTGCCCTAGGGGGTCAATTATGCCGTTGACTGGCGGTCAAAGAGGGTAATTGTCCTTATAGAAAAACTCGGGGTGGTATAAGTCTTTGGGACATAATTCGGAGGGATTTTTGTCCTTTCTCCACAAAATTTAGAGAGCAATTAACTCTTTTCTAAATTTTTTGGGGAAACGTAGCAGTTCCAGATAAAATTTAGTTATTTTTCCATTTTGCACTTGAAAAAACACTTATAAAAGGGACATGATTTGGAAAGACTTATAAAATTTAGTTATTTTTTCCATTTTGCCCTTGAAAAAACACTTATAAAAGGGACATGATTTGGAAAGACTAATTATTAGTGTACATAATATATGGATCCCCTATTCTCAAGTTACATAAAAGTGTAATTTTCCCCTCTGTTTGTTTCATTTTTTGGTTGGTTTTTTCACATTTTTTATTGTTAAATTCTCTTTCTAATATACTTTTTCACATTTTTAGTATATTTTTTTAACATTTTGAATATAAAAAAAATATAAAAACATACTTAAAAAAATGACCCAACATATGAATGACTAGTCTAACGTTGCATGGCATAACATGATAACTGTATATATTGTGATTTTCGGTAAATTCAAAATGATTAAATACAATTATCTTTTACCAGTTACTTTAGTTCAACTCGTAACGGGACTCACTTATGGGTATCACGCATGCAATTTTGATTCTAAGAAATGCCAAATCAGCGACACAATTTCAGGACGAGATGTATTAGTGACGAGTGACTGACTTACTATTAAGTTATTGTTCCTAAGACACTGTGATGGGAAAATTTTTAAATGGACATTATTTTCTGAAGTCAATTGTCTACCTCGACAAAAATTTTTAATGATATATACGTTGTTTTCCTCTTGTCAAAGTAAAGGAAGCAAAAACTAAACCATTAAATCGACATATATATTGCGTGAACGAAAAATATCGAATAGCACCCGGGACCAATAGTTATTAAAAGTACCCAATAATTTACGATTCTGTATACCGTACAAATTTAAACTAATTTTATTATTAATTTGTGCCTTATAGTTTGATGGGAGGGAGTACGATCTTTGAAATGAGCAATATCATTACGGTTAATCAAGGCTTATATATATATATATATATATATATATATATATATATAAAAGGAAATTCTATGGTCCAGTCTTGAGTTTTTGACTGAACTATACAGTTAAACTTTAGCCAATAAAAGTGAGGCACACTATTTGTAATTATGGAGTGTACAACACCATGACAAGCCATATTAGTTGTTGACTAAATAATTACTGAAGTTTCTTAAGTTCTTTAAATAAAATTACTAAGATAAAACCAGGATGAAAAAAAAACAATAGCTCTTAATCAAATGCATCGTCATCCTTATCAGAAAGTAGTGGTTGCAGCTGCAACAATCTCAAGTTCATGTTGTATAATTTCACAATGATTCGTATTTCTTCTCAAATTTAATGGTGATATATGTCTATTCATAAAAGCAGTTTTACTACTTCCAATTCTTCTCCGCACATTTTCACATTTCTCATTTCTTTCTCCACCCATTTTCATATAAAAATATACGAAATCAATCGCAGAGTAATCCAACAATTAGTCGCCAACGGCTTAAAAAATACTTTGATTAGCAAGTAAATTAACAAAAGTTTTAGTAAATATTCTGGAACGTTTAAATCCACTACATATCATAACTGAATTATATCATGAAATTGGCGAAACCAAACTATTGTTTTCCGGCAATGGAAGAGAAATTTGAAAAACCTATAATTTCTGCACCTCCACTATCAAGGAAAATCCCGACATCTACTCGTCTATGCCGTGAGAGTTCTGCCGGCAGTGCATTCATATTTCAAGTTTGGAGGGAGATTTTTGGTCTTCTCGAATCGATTAACGACAAGGCAGTGAATCCGACTTTGTACTTGAATCCCTTCCTGCGATTGTGCATACGACCCATGGTGTACGGCGGACGGGAGCACTCTATCATTGGACGGCTTCGGGGATACACCGAACAATGGCTTTTGAATTCTAATTCATAGTTTAATATTTCGGTGAAACGATTTA